CGGGGAATCTCCCCGCTCACAATCGACCAAGGTGTGACCTCGCTGTGCCCACCTCCTCGTCTACCCCTTCGGCACTTGAGCCTGTAGTGCCCTGCTTCCCGTGCCTCGATTGGGTCCCTATGGGTTCTTGAGTGCAACGGCACCGGCGCAATGCGTCTACGGCCTCTGAACGTATTGTATTGAGAACCGTAGTCCTGGTGATCCATCGTTGCCTGGTCAGCATTCTTCGCTCCGCCGTTTCCGTGTCTTGCTAACATTCCGGGGTGCGAAGTTCGACATGCTGACCACATCGTAGAGCACATTCTCTTAAAACAGATCACAGGTTTACCCCGCGTCCTGTCAGCACTCCCCGCGCGTACGATAAGAATTCCTTGTACTGTACATCCCCTGTTATCCGTACATCGCAGTACTACCTCACTCGAAGTCGTGGCCCGTCTTGAGAACTCCTACCTATTTGGGCAGCCTCCGTCCCATTGCGTCCTCGAATGACCCTTCCCATATTGGTCATCCATTAGGCTAAAGCTTCCAGCGTTGGTGGTCATACTCGAAATGATCTACGTTCCATTAGTCGAATGCCACTTTATGGTATGGATCCTTCATGTTCACCAGGTGCCGTTGGTATCCCCGCGTGCTGTGACCCGGCTGGATCACCTCAAGCATTACTATTTACCCTCCCAATCAAGCGAATAGACCGAAACTACTTCATATCGGACTTCTTCCACTACGACACCATGCTATGAGCTCGTCCGCTAAGTACAGTCTTCGCTTTTCCGATAGATTGCGCGTACCCAGTACATGTTAAACCTGCCGCCGGCGCAGGCAACTCAAGTGAGGTTCTGCCGGCTTGGCTACCATCTCCGTTGCTCGATCGTCACATCAGCCTGCCCCCTTGGGTCTCCATTCCGAGCATTTCGCCATCAACAGGCTCAGTGTCTCGCCCTGTTGATTGCCGATGCCTGCTCCGCTCCGCTCCTGCCCAACCTATGTGCCCTCCAAGGCCTACGCTCATTGCGAGGACTATTAAACGTACAATGGCGCTGCTGTCCTGTCCCGCCCGTGTCCCCGAAACCCTGTCCCCGAATGCGTGTCAATATTCCCAAGGTCTGCGATCATGCGCTGGTCGTCCATGCTCACAACGGCGGCCTTCGCCGGGTCTGGTAGGTCTTGTTTACATGCCATCTCGCCAGCAACAGGTCACTGACGCGAGCAGCCACGGCCCAAACCACCACCTACCGTGACAGTCAAGGCCGTACCTTCTCCGGCTACACTGATGGCGCTGGCGTGCGGTATGGTATTGCCATCCCAACCAGCGCTGCTCCAGGACAGTCATTCGACGCCATTCTACAAATCACTGCCCCCATCAGTATTGGCTGGGTTGGCTTGGCTTGGGGAGGTGGCATGACCTACAATCCCTTGAGCATCGTATGGCCCAACGGAAACGATGTCATGATCTCAGCTCGCATGGCCTTGTAAGTCTGCCTGGCTATCCGGCCTTGTTACAATATGCTTATCCCGGCAGTGGCTATTCCGTTCCTCCGCCGTACCCAGCTACCACCCATACTCTGCTCTCAGGATCTGGGGCCAACGCTACTCATTTCACGGTCACGGCCCTCTGCCGTGGCTGCACCTACTGGTCCGTCCAGGGCTCGGACCCCGAGAGTCTGAACCCCAACGGCGAGAACTATCTTGCCAATGCCTATTCCACTGTACCTGTCGACTACCCCGAGGAGGAACAAACGACGTTTGGAATCCATCAGGGTACCAACCACTGGTACCACGACTTTGCGCTGGCGAAGCAGGCCGGCTTTGAGCAATGGGCTGGCAGCGGTGGAGGGGGAGCCAGCACGACAACCCTCACAACTCGCTTAACCACGACCGCGATTACGACTACAGATGTGCAGACGACACTAACAACAACGGTTACCCGTACTGGCTCGCCTCCGACCAGCGAAGTAACCACTTCGACCGTCGCAGGGCCAACGCAGACCGGGGTCGTACCTCTTCCTGCCCCGAGCTCATGCCCCGGTGTCAGTGCCTGGCGGTCGAGCTTCGGGGTGGCCACAGGGTGGAGAGCCGTCAAGATTGCTGGCGGCCTTCGCACACCCCGCGGCATCGTGCTTGACTCTAATGGCAATCTGCTTGTTGTCCAGTCCGGTCTTGGTGTTACGGTCCACACCTTTGGTTCTGATGGGTGCCTTTCCGGTAGTAAAACTCTCATCTCGAATCCAGCCCTCAATCACGGTATCTCCCTCACGGCCGACGGCACGAAGCTTTACGTCTCTTCAATGACAACTGCCTTTGAGTACAGCTACAATGCCGCCAGCCAAACTGTCAGCGGCGAACGCACAGTCGTGAGGGCCATGAACCAGGGTGGCCATCCTTCGCGTACTCTCCTGATTCCACCTCAGACACCTCATCTACTGGTTATTTCACTCGGGTCTTTCGACAATCTCGACCATCCAACAATCAACCCCGCAACGGGTCGAGCCATCGTCAAAGTCTTCGACCTGCGTAACGTGCCTTCAGGCGGCTACGCCTTCAACACGCAGGGCTACCTGCTGGGTTATGGTCTGCGCAATGGTGTGGCACTCGCTGCTGATGGCGGTAACCAGTAAGTGACATGTTCCAGAATACGACTTATCCTAACGCAATCAGTGTGTGGGAGGTGGAAAATGGCGCCGACCAGTTTCAACGGACTGTGGGTGGCTCGTCATACGACATCCATGCCGACAACCCTTCCGAGGAACTCAACTACCGTAAGACACCATTGGACCTCGAGCCGTGAGCGTTAGCTGATCAGCGTATTAGTTGGTGACCCCGCCGTGGAGAATCGCAACTGGTACGGCTACCCGACGTGTCACAGCGTCTACGGAGCCAGCCAGTTTACCGACAAGGCATTCCGCACGGGGGACCAATTTGTTCTCACTCCCAATGCGACCTTCAATGACGAGGACTGTGCCCGTCGCGGTTCCGTTCCGCCGCGCCTCAGTTTTCAGGCCCATTCGGCGCCTATGGATGCTACATTCGACCGTGCCACCGAGAACATGTTCATCACGTTTCACGGCTCCTGGAACCGGCCCGTTGCAACGGGCTACAAGGTTGTGCAGGTCGCATTTCGGCGTGGGGCTAACGGCCGGTACGAACCTGTGGAGCCGGCCACGAGCATGACGGCAGCAAAAGATATCTTCTGGAGTCAAAATGAGGGGAGCTGCACCAGTAGCACATGCTTCCGACCTTGCGGCATCACCTTTGACCGGGCCTACTCGAGGTTAATCGTGGGTAGTGACCGGCCGTCGGAGGGAGAGCTGTTCATGTTGATCAAAACGTAAGAAGGCTCTTCTGAGGGGTGAATCAAGATCTGAACAGGTATATGCTTTACGTGGAGGAAACTGTCTGAAGACGCATACAAAGGGTCTAGTTCTGCTCCGTGGGGATGTCGTAGAATCTCGTAACTTGCTCAACTGCCGGAGAAAATATTGTGAAAGCAATGTTCGAGTATGCAGGTTGGCCGTCTAATGCATTGGCTGGGTATGAATTCCAATGTCCTCGAAGCAGTTCTGTTCGATAAGCTCTGGTTTCTGAAAAGAGACTGTAACGCTCACGTTGCTTGGTACACGCGCTTTTGAGGCCAAAAGCATCCTTTCCGGATGTACCTGGTCTTATAGAGGCGGAAACCCCAAAGCCTGAAATATGACCTGGAGATGAGAGTACTCGGAGAGACCCTCTGGACAGTCAGTCGTCAGATAGAAAAAGCGGAGAAAGGGACGTATTTAACAGTGAGTTGCCGTGCCTAAACATGACTACCCAAAAATCACAAGGCCGTGTGATTCCATCTACATGTCACGGTATCTCACAGGTCAGGCAGGTAGTCGGTGGTGGGGCTGTCGAGATTGAGGCCGCTCTTGAGCAAGACCAGATCAGAAAAGACTTTGCTGACAGATTCAATGAGGCACTGGCTGCCTCGATCAATGTTGGTCGAGACACAATCTTGCTTGGGTTTGGCGGTGATGTTTTCAAGCGGGTTTGCCGGGGTATTTTCTGGTCGAAGGAGGGGAGTGCAAGAGGGAAGCTTGCGTTCTCCATTGGCCATCCTGCTTTTATCTCGCCATATCTGATGGAGTCTTATTTCAAGCCTACTAGCAACTCGTAGGAAGAACGAGGATTCGCAGTGGCCCAAATATCTGGGTCGTGGGGTGACAAGGCCATCAGGCCTGCAAATCGACATGCAGTACTCGTCCTTTAGGGATCCTACCTTGTGTGGGACTTGAGTAACTTCACCCCCGGCTTCAACACATCCACATCGATGATGACACGATAAGTGCGGCAGCACCCGAATGGTTCCGCTGATTTTCCTGTTAGCTGCTACGGATGCAATGTCAGAATGACGCATGACTTGAATGTAGCACATGCCCGAGCATATATGGACCGAGAAGTCGCGTCAGAGAGCGACCCCAAGCAGGGACTTTGGTTGGCGCAGAGCCCTGCCTGAGTGAGGGTCGGCCATTATCTAGAATGGGGCCATAGCTAATACGATTGCTCTGGTTACGACTTTTCTTCAAGTCACACCAGCCTGCAAGGACCTGGATCTCTCTAAGTCCAAATAGACAAAAGGCGGAGTGAGCTGTTTCTGGTGACCCATCTGAGGTGCACCATGCACCATGTTCCCTGAGGTGGGCTGAGGCTGAGCCGGGCCTGAGCCTAAGCAGGTGCTACAAAAACGCTAGCCTGGACTAGGACCTCCACTGCAACATCTGCGCGTCGTCGCGACATGCGCCTGCCCACCTGTCTACCACATTTCCATGCTCTACCCACGCTTCAATGGCGGGCAAAAGGGGTAGCAAGGCTGGACCCTCGCCGTTAGCCAAGACGCTCGTTCTTGACAACGGCGGCTACACCATCAAGGCTGGTTTCGTAACCGAAGAATCTGCGGAACAACCACGCGTTATCCCCAACTGCATCGCCCGCGACCGTTCCAGGAAGCTCTACGTCGCGTCCGAACTGGACCAGTGTCGCGATTTTGGCGAGGCTCAATTCAGGCGCCCGGTTGAGAAGGGCTTCATTGTCAATTGGGAGGCTCAGAGAGAGATCTGGGACCGCGAATTCTTCGACGACAAAGCTCCGCAGAATTGTGATCCATCCGAAACGCGACTGCTTCTCGCTGAACAACCCAACTCCCTTCCCGTGCTTCAGTCGAATACCGACCAGATCGTCTTCGAGGAGTATGGTTTTGCCAGCTACTATCGTGGAATCGGTCAGTTGCTACGCTGCAGCTTCTGGGATTTAACCACTGACATCCCCTTCCTCAGGCCCCGCCTTTAACGCCTACCATGACATACAGGCTGTTCTCCAAACGCCTCGCGATCCAAGTACTGTTCCCACGACCCCAGCCGAGCTGGTCCTCGTCATTGATTCGGGCTATTCTCAGACGACTGTCTTGCCTCTCCTCCATGGCCGCCCGTTCCACTCCGCCGTTCGCCGCCTCGACGTGGGCGGTAAGTTCCTAACGAATTACCTTACTCGCCTTCTCTCCCTCCGCCACTTCGACATGCGAAACGATGTCTACATCGTCAACGAGATCAAGGAAAAGGCCTGCTATGTGTCTCTCGATTTCGACAGTGATCTGGAAAAGACATGGAAGGGTACACGTGGCGAGAGGAGAGAGTCATACCTTACAGGAGGCGGTGTTGCCAAGGACTACGTGCTGCCCGATTTTCACACTCGGTCACAGGGGGTCGTGCGCGACTATGACCCTGCAATGCACACAAAGGCCAGGAAGCTGGCGGCTCAGTCGAGTGACGTCAACGAGGACCTCCTAACTCTGCGTAACGAGCGCTTCACTGTGCCTGAGCTCCTGTTCAACCCCTCCGACATTGGCCTCTGGCAGTCAGGGCTAGCTGATCTCGTTATGCAGTCTCTCGACGAACTGCCGATTGGAATCTGGCCAGGCCTGCTGGCCAATATTGTTGTCGTTGGTGGGAACGCCTCGTTCGAAGGATTCATTCAGCGCCTTGAGAAGGAGCTCGTGAAGCGGGTGCCTGACGACTGCATAGTACGTGTTGCCCGCCCAGCTGATCCCATCACCAGCACCTGGCTTGGCGCGGCGAACCTTGCCCGTCACGGCAATCTGCCCAACATGTGTGTCACAAAGGCAGAATACGAGGAGCACGGCGGAAGTTGGCTTGCGCACAAGTTCGGTTCGAGCTCGGCTATGGGCTCAGCGAGTCCCAACTGAGATGCATCGAATAACTTCCAACCTTTTGCAACTTGATAATTTGGCTAGAACATCTCTGTCTATCAACGACAACGGAGCACGATACAACCACTGCCCTGCAGAGATCACAGCAACCAGATCGTCTTAGAAGGACGGGCCACCCTCGCACCTTCGCATGCACTCAGAAGACCCCTCCGAAGCTCCGGTGCCCACTGCCGGAATATTCTGGGCGAGAGCCGCAAATTGCATGGCCAGTGGACTATCGCCAAACGCCGCGGCCAGAACTTCTGATGGCATACCAAACAGCCCGTTCGCAACGTTGTGCGTGCCAGCATCCTCGGAGCTTAGAGCGGAGACGAGCGTTGCGTTTTCACAGCCTGGTAAAATTAGCCTGTATCACATCGAGGAGGCTACGGAACCTGCCAGTGTTCTGCATTGTATGCAGGCTGCCCGTGGGAAATATGGTCATTTTGCCTGGCGTCAGGACTGTCCGCACGAGACGCGCCCCGTTCTCCAACGTCATGAAAGTCTCGGTGGTGCCCTCGACCGCGACGACATAATTGGACGCCCGGGGATGGTAGTGCGGCGGTAGCATCGCACAGGGCCCGAGGGTCCGCCAAGACATTGTCATGCCGTTGCCGATTGTCGCTGGAAAAGTTGCTGCATTGGCATTGACTACGCCGCCAGGAGAGTAATTATGGAAGTCGCTTGCGAAGTAGTCGAACGTCCAGTCCAATCACTGTCTTGAGGGAGAAGTTTGATCTTGTCAAGCTCGGTCGGGCTCAGCTTCAGACGGCCCACGAGCGTGGGGTTGACGGCTTGGTCGATGCCCTCCGCCAAGTCGATCAACAGGCTGAGGCATATTCCTTGGACGATAGAGGCGATCTTTAGCATGTTGGACGGAAACCTGTGGTTGTTTGGCGTCTGCTGAAGAGCTCTGCAAGGCGGCATAACGATGCGCGGCCAATCTCGATGATATTATAATCGATCGACGAACCCTTCCGCTTCATGGCTGCCTATCAGGATGCCTTCATGTTGTGCACACGCGGGAGTATCATTCGACACCTTGGGTAACACGGCAGGCGCTGACGTTCGATGGAGGACGGAATCTTGGTCCACCGCCGGTCAGCCGGTATTGCCATCATCGAGATCGTGGATACTTGATCGCCAGATCACTTGTTATGAAACCTTGGATGTTCGACATCCGCCAGAGCCACTACCCCATGTCACTTGATCTGGTAATTATATATCAAGCATCAAAAAATTGGCAGAACACCACTGAGTTTCGCATTGCCATTACTCAACGTGTTCAACCAGGAGCGGGCGTTGGTAGGCACCGATACCGTCCCCCAAGAGCGCCCGATGCCTCGAAGGCTTGGGCGTAAAGGAGTCGGAAACCTGTTTGACAATGCGGAAATACATAAATTCCCATCATCAAAATTGCCGCGACAAAATTGTCGATTTCGAAAAAGCATGCCTATTCAAGGAAGTGCCATTGTGATATCTCGTTATCCTTGATGAATCAATGTTCCCTGCGTCATAGTGTTGCACTTGGTTGGACAAGCCTCGTATTTCACGGACGACAGAGACACCTGAGTTAGCAATATGAACAGAAGGCAACTCGCGGCCTCAAGGATATTATGACACTTGGCCCTATCAACAGCAGGCTGTTCAGCGAATCGTTAGTGTTAGTGTTGGCAAGACCGCGCTCACAATCATGTGAATTGTGACAAGCACCCAAAACACGTCCTTGTGCTGCTTCAGGCCACATCACAGCGATGACAAGACCAACAAACAAGCCCCATGTTATCCAGCTTCTGTTAACCAAGAAAATGGAAGCACATTGAATGTCGCGCTCTAATTTGAAACATTCTGATAGTCGATGCCGATTATGTTGCTTTGCCAGGTTTGTCCTACGCCCATCCCGATCAATCAGCAGGGTTCGAGACTGACCCTGATCATGCCGGTCCCAGAAAGACTTAGAATGGTCGGGCAAAACACAGTCTTGGTGACAGGAACTTAAATGAAGATCACGATACAGTTGTAGAGCAGTCGATCCCACCACATTGCCTCGATGGTGGACGTGGCAAGCTCCCGAGCCTTGATCGTGGCACGCGACTCTGTCTGATTTTGAGGGTGACCCACAACAAGTCTCCTGTCATTCAAGTGACACTACATCAGTAAGGAATGAGTTGGGATCGGCGATCTATTACTATGACGCCACGCAACAATGTGATCGCCCACAGAAACAGGGTATCATACAGAACATCGAGGCAGACTGGCCTCGCCTGACGACAAGAAGAGAGAGGGAAAGCTCGATAAACGAGGAGAAAGAAGCGCTGCGCTGTCATGAGTGACCGGTCGGAGAACGCCGAACTGATCCAGAAGGAAGTAACCGAAGTAACCAAACACTGGCGGAGTAGAGGTCTTATGAGAAGAATTCCAGCATCTCTTAGAGGTGACGGAGGAAGCGACCGCGGCTGGAACACCCTGTAAACTGATCAGCATAAAAATCGCTGGGAAGGATCGGGATGCGGCATACAGTCGCACTAGAGAACGTCAGCTTGATCATTGAAAAGGTGTTGTGCTTGTGATTGACTTACCAAATGAGCTGTCGATCCTTCGTTATGGATGATGCAGTAACCGCCGCAGCATCCACGGCAAAATCGCTGGGTCTGCTCGATGCAGTCGTGGCACTTTTGTTGTTCAGTTCCGGTGTCTATTTGGGTATGATTCGAAACTTACATTACTACCACATTCCCAACAGCTCTTGATGATGCGTCCCTGTAGGCCATTAGCGAAGAGACAATAATGCAACACGGCGCAGATTTCCATGAGATCCGAAGGAAAAGGATATTGGTGTACATATGTGGCATACAGTATGTGCAGGCGGAAGCCATTGAGTTCAGTTCTCTGGGAGGCAAAGATCACTGCAGATGCCATTTCGTACCTTCGATTTGGCGTGTGAGGTACGATGGTCTTCGTCCTCGTGTTGCTGGACCCAAGCATCGCCTTCAGGACTGACAATAACCACATCGGCGGCGGCAAGGTTGACAGGGCCGGGACTTGCAGGCGCTGTCGGTGGCACGTAACATTCCTCGCACCACCATTTGTTGCAACTGTTGCAGTACCGATCGCGAAGGCAGTCGGCACATCTTGCAACGAAGCCGGAGGACGTAGAGGGTGAGCAAGGAACCGTTGCTGCTTTGATGGAGGACGAGAGGAGGGGAGGCGGCGCCAAGAGGGGCAGAAGTGAGGGTGGCGTGCAGGCATGAGTAGTGACTCCCTCCGGAGCAGCACCGCAACCTGCACAACCAGGGACGGCATGTGTCGCAACAGCCCACTGAGGCCGAGAGTCCCGCGAACCTGGTGCAGTCACAAGATGGGAAGCAGGAACCTTGCCATATGCAGGGGAGCTGATGTGACGCGGGCCATTGCATGGCAGGGCATCAAAGGCAATGATACCACGGCAATCAACAAGCGTGGCAGCCCATTCGTCGAGCGGCGCTCGGGCAATCATCCTGCCCTTCCGATTATGCCAATCATCAGGAGCATGTGCCATGTCCGGCGCACCAAAGATGTAGAGGGCTTTGAGGCGTGGAGTATTCTCCGGACGCGTAGGACGGCATGCATATTGGAGAGTGCGACAGAGCTGCCGCTCGTTGAGATGCTTGCTCCCACGCAGCGAGAGCAATCGGATGTTGTAATATGGATCGAGGATCAGCTCGTGGCAAAGCTCGGCTGTCACGGGTAGGGTGTCGAGGATCAGAGTCTGAACATCGGCGAGGAGGTTGTGGTAGCGGAGGCGGCTGAATATGCCACGTAAGGGACCTGAGTAGAACCTATGAGGGGGCAATAAGTAGCTGTCGACAGAAGATGGATCGGATGCCACGTACTCATCCTCGGTCAGATTCTCGTCAAGTTGGACGTTGCGCCAGGTCTCGCCGCCGCGGTCGACTGGAGCGATGTCAAGTTGGGCAGCGCGAGTGTGGGTGAGGTCGAGGTGGCGGAACACGCCGGGCGTGTGAAGAACAAGCCCGCGGAAGTCGTGACTTGTCGAAGCGAGGTTCAGGCGTGTGGAAGCAGACAGGTAAGGTGCAGTTTGCGCGAGAATCAGGTGGTTCGAAAGGAGGTCGAGTAACGTTGGAACTGGATCTAGGTATTCGACATGCGACGCGTTGGGGGTGATGTGGATGGCCGAGAGCATGGTACGGCCGAAGGAGAGGGTGCTGCGAAGAGTGGGTACAAAGGATAGATAACGATGGAGCGCAATGCGAGAACTTGGCGACGGCGTATATCAGGGCACAATGGTGGTTGATGTTGGCACCTCTTGGTCGGGAACACTGGGTAGTAATAGGCAGGACGACGATTGATGAGCAGCTGATTAGTGCCTCAGGTACCTCAAAGCTAAGACATATGATGGAGGGGGTGTTGCTCGCGTATATATTCGCTGGGATGTTGAGTACCTAGAGCTCTATAGCTTCAGCAAGTAGAGCTAATAATAAGCGCTCCTCGGCCCCTTAGGTCGACCTCGTCTGGTTCGACTCGAACAACGCCGTGTTCGAGGCGAGCTGGCATCACGTTGGTATGTGCGGAGTTGCAGCATCCTTGCATGGCCCTCTGATACTAAGCCAGTCCGAGCTTGCGGACCCTGAAGATCGACGGACCGAATGAAACGGGTTGGGGGTTAGCTTTGGTTGAGATCTGGAGAGGGTGGGCAGAGGCGTTGAATGCTTTGGGAGGGTGGTTGAAAGTAGGTGCGAGACACGTCGAGCATCGAAGCTCTCCAATGAAGCTGCTGCTTGAAACTGTTACATGACCAAATTAGCCGCAACAACCCGCTTAGACCTGCCGTCTTATCGATTCGAGGCACGGCCACCACAGTGGCTCGAGCTGCATCTCGGCCGGGCGTCCGTGGGGTGCGGGATGACTCCCCGGACAGGCGGTGAAGCACGACATGGCGTGTATGGGGATGCTTCGCTGGTTGCACTGCGCCAGTGACGAAGCCAGAGTTGGATATTATTTTGGGATTGGTTTCGGCTGGGCGATCCGTGGTGCCCAAGAAATGGCTTGACCGGCCTTGTTGGCGATCACACTGGGCTTTGATTTGGTAGCTGGCACAAGCCCTCTTGGCGTCTCTGAACGACTCGGTCAGGTCTTAGGTCGGATACTTCGGGTCTTCTCCGCATCACACAGTGATCGGTGTCAGCTTCAAGGGTTGATGCTAGAGGGGGATCGCGAACTCAATGGTCATCTACTCTTCTGCAAAGCGCCAGCCACGCCAGCCAGAACGTTTACCACCCACCCCCAGTTCATATAGCCTTACGTAAGATCCCATGGGAAATCTTCGGCTCACATCCGTGGTCTCCAGAAGTGGCAGGCGGAGTGCCCGTTGTGGCGCAAGCTTTCCCACGTCATCGTAGCGGGTGACCCCTGCACGAATCAAAGTCGCGATAGAATCGCGAAGAAATGATATGTTGCTGAATCATCTGTCATGGCCTTCGACAGCTTGGCCTCTTCGAAGCCATATGCCGACTTCGCTGTGCACTCAATGATCCGAAAAAAGCTACAATTTCTACGAAGCTTGTCATGATAAATCCGTACATTCAACAACTCTCCCTTTACCCACCCTCTTCTCCCACCAATCTGGCCACTTGACCCCTCTTGCTATCACAACATGGGTGACATTGACCCTCAAGACAATAATACCTCGATCAACTGGTCTGCGTCATTTTCCGTTGTCTCGCCAGTGAGAAGCGCATCGAAGGACCTTCGTGGAGATAAGATCCTCCTTCCTCAATCAGCTCTGGAACAGCTTCTCGCAGCCTCCCCGTCTTCGCCAACTCATCCAAACCAGACTTTCTCCTCGTCACGCGTCCCTTTCAATCCCTACGCCACCCACCGATCTGGACCCTACCGCGAGACCTCCCAACTTCCGAATCCCTTAACCTTTCGCCTCGTCAACCCGATCAACGGAAATGCCGTCCATGCTGGAATACGCGAGTTCTCTGCCGAAGAGGGGCAGGTCGCCTTGGGGCCATACCTGATGGAAGCCCTGGGTATCGACAGCAGCATGTTCGCGAGCGAGAGTGACACCGACAGTGAGGCCCACATGACGAGCGACCAAAGCAAAGCCTACCCGCGAATCACGATTCACGCAAAATATCTACCCAAAGGCACGTACGTTCGGCTACGTCCCCTCGAAGCAGGCTACAACCCCGACGACTGGAAGTCTCTCCTCGAGCGCCAACTGCGCCAGAGCTTCACTACCCTGACAAAAGACGCTGTTCTTGCCGTTCGCGGTGTCAAGGGAGAACAATTCCAATTTCTTATCGATAAATTCTCTCCCGAAGGCGATGGTATATGTGTTGTCGACACTGATCTCGAGGTTGATATAGAAGCTCTCAACGAGGAGCAGGCTCGCGAAACTTTGCGTCAGATAATGGCGCAAGAAGAGACAGAAGGCGACAACGGAAGCTCCAAAGGCGGCAAGCTAGACATTTGGAAGCCCATCGATGGCCAGGTTGTGCCCGGTCAATATGTCGATTTCCAGTTGCCATCTTGGAACAGATCTGCTCCCTTGACAATTGAGCTTTCCGGCATATCCAATCCCGATTCGCTTGACTTGTTTGTCAGCCCAAAATCGTCTAGACAACGGGCTTTGCCACGCGATTCAGAGCACGTATTTGGCGAGATATCTGTCGCACGGAGTGGCATGAAGACCATTATTCTCAACCCTACAAATGTCGAGCTTGAAGAAGCAGACCAGCTACTGATCGCAGTACACGGATATCCAAATTCAGTTTTGTCGGGTTCAGCCACTCTGTCCTTTACACTTCGGGCAAGGTCTGGTGCTGTCGTTTCCGACCCTCCATCTATCGTGTCGGGTGATTCTAGCACATCGCACTCATTGGACGACGAGCAATGCAAGAATTGTCGGCAGTGGGTGCCGAAGCGAGCCATACTTCTGCACCAAAACTTCTGTCTACGCAATAACGTCATCTGTCCGAGGTGCAAATCGGTATTCAAAAAGGGTTCCCCTGAATGGGAAGCGCACTGGCACTGCGAATTAGACGACGACTTTGGAGACACAGCTGCCAGCAAAGCCAAGCATGACGCTCAGCGACACAGCGAGTGTCAGTGTTCTTCATGTGGTATGACTGTACCATCCTTGGTCGAGCTGGCCCTTCACAGGACCAGTGTCTGCCCTGGCAAGCTGATTCTCTGCAGGTTTTGTCACCTCGAAGTGCCGCAGGAGGGAGATCCCTTGAACCCATCAGCCGAGGTTATCTTATCTGGTCTTTCTGCGCATGAGGTCGCTGATGGGGCACGAACTACCGAGTGCCACCTATGCAACAAAATTGTTCGTATGCGTGACATGTCTGCCCACATGAAGCACCACGAACTTGACAAGGTGTCGCGGCGTAAGCCTGACGTGTGTCGCAATGCAAACTGCGGTCGCACACTACACGGCGTCGGGCCTTCAGGAGCTGTTAGCGCGGGCACGATGATGGGACAGGGCCCTGGCAATGACATTGGTCTTTGCTCGCTATGTTTCGGTCCACTTTATGTCAGCATGCACGATCCAGAGGGAAAGGCGCTTCGCCGGCGCATTGAACGACGTTACCTGTCACAAATGATGACGGGCTGCGGCAAGTCGTGGTGCGCCAACCAGTGGTGTAAGACCGGCCGCGCCAACGCAGCCCTGGAAGCCAAAGCTGCAAGTGCCCAGGCTGTCTTGCCGCTTGTGAAGCCACTGGTGGAGAATGTCCCGCGGCTGGATGAGCCCCTTTTCTTCTGTGTCGATGAAAGAAACCAGAGGAGCACGAAGATGGCAGAGATGCTTGCTAGTGAGAATGTATGGGAACACGAATGGTGCATAGCGGCGTGTGAAGCGGCCGCAGGGGACTTAGACAAGGCGCGGGAGTGGTTACACAACTGGGCACCCATGAAGGGCGTTGGTGCATAGCGGGCGGCGTTTGAATGATACCACGATTTGACCGACTTTCAGGAGGCACATGCGGAGAGACGGGAGAGGGGGCTAATTGAAGGGCCCGGGACTATGAGAGGCAGTAAAAAGGGCTGCGGGGCCCCTCCCAACTGCGAAGAGGCAGAATTCAGATGTATTCCCTCCCCCGACCTGACAATCGACTACGGATATCATCTGCAGAAGATCTCACTCTGCTCATCCACACGCTCAGACACGAGCAGTCAGGGCCATGAAACGACGACGCGTTTCTGCACTGGAATCTTTGATAACTCAGATCCGAACAACAACTTCTAATTGCCACTCATAGAGCTTCATAGCCCTCCCCAACGATATACGGCGGTCTGACCCGTCAGCGTAAATCACAACCGTAGCATGCGACTTACCTTGAAATATTCTTGGATCCCACAATGGCTGCAGCGCCTCCAGCGTATATGCCAAGCAGCTTACCCCAGCCTGTGTTTCCATAGATGGACTGCCCGACAGACAGCGCAAGCAGATTGTACACGAGACATCCCCCAAAGATCCAGTCGCTCACTGCTGACATGAGTCCGAAGCCCACGCCGGTAAGGACCTTGACCGGCAAGGAAGGCTGAACATCGACGAAGTAGGCTGCCGAGGTGTTGTGGAGAAGGTCTAACACGCCGATACCTGCAAATGTTTTGGAAACGACATGGGTGAGGATCGAACTGGTGGATGCTGTGTCCATCCTTGGGAGACGAGTCGCGATAAAGTACAGTTGGGTGAGGGTATTCATGATCACGAAGAGATTGGACGTTTTTAGGTGGCCACTGTTCCAGAAAAGCATCCAGGCTGCGAAATCAGCACTACGACCTTAAAGGGTCACGGGCAAACTTACATGCTATGCAGATGTTGCCAAGGCTGTAGAACGGCGCAAAATCAACCATCGTGGCCGTCATGCTCTTGTCTGGTCTGGCCTTGTGGAGGCGCCATAACCAAACGAGCTGGAAGATCTGCTGCGGGAAGAAAAAGGCACCGATGAGAAAAGGCTGCGGCGAGAAAAAAGATTTGTTTGCATCATGAATGTCCTTCATGTTCGGCGTGCCAAGGAGACCATAGGTCTGCGCAGCAAAGTCGATTACGAAGGAAGCAGGGGCCAAGACCCTTGCAGTGGAGAGAGAGATGCCCATGATGCAGCTGGTGGAAGCTTCTCTCTCAAGAAGCAAGATGTTTTCTAAAAAGTCCAGATTAAAATTGCGTGAGGTTCTGGCAATTCCGCTTCATTAAATAGTCGATGCAACATGCTCAGCATGATCAAGAGGTGTGGGCGTCAAAGTGTGGCTATTGTGGATGTCAACGGCTGTTCGCAGATCTGGCACCCGCTGGCTCTCCGCGTCATCGATTTAGGTCCGTGTCCAGCCGCTACAGTAGCACTAGTCAGTTCGACCAAGGTAGTGGCCAACCTCATGACAGCGCTCAGCTGAGAGTTGAGCTCGGAGTCGGAGTCGAGGCGACTGAGCTCGCTCTCATAATACTGAAGCCTCCAGAGCAGCATGTAAGATGAATCAGTATGTACGATTTAAGAATGTGCTACTCAGTAAGTGAGAAACACAGTTGCTCAGAAAACCCGATCTGCGCAGAGCAAGATCGAAGTGCAGGGCGAAACAACAGGGGTCGAAGCCCGTGACAAAAAGCCGAAGTTTTGACTCCCTGCAAAAATGCTTGGATGGGCGGCACGGTGTGATGGAAAGCCCTTCGTGAAACGATCCGCTGTGTATTTTTACTGCTTTTATCTATGCAATTGACTTCCTAAGAACGTCCATAAATGTCCACACATCCTCGAACGTACAGTACAGCGGCACCGGGGCGACACGAATGACGCCTGGCTTCCTCTTATCACAAACCACACCCGCGTCCGTCAGTGCTGCGCTAACGTCATCCAATAGGCCGTCCTTGAGCAGCACGCTCAGCTGCGTTCCTCGCTCCAACGGGTTCCTTGGCGTAATAACTCTGAACGATGGCTCTTCCTTGGACTCGTCTGCGAGGATACCATCCAGTAGATGCTCTGCGTACGCTGTCAGGACCAGCGCCTTGGATCTCAACGACTTCATGTCCGTCTTGGCAAAAACAGAAAGCGACGCGGCAAGCGACGCTAGATCAATCGCCGAAGGGTTTGAGACCTGGAAGCCGCCAGCGCCTACTGTCGGCAAGAAGTTGTTGTCCATGTTGAATCGCACAGACTTGTCTCCGCCATACCATCCTGTCAGGCGGTGCCTGAACACAGGACGCCCGTTCTCCTTCTCCACCTTACCATGCCGCTCGTGAACGAACGCGCCTGCGATAGCGCCAGGTCCCGCGTTCTGGTACTTGTAAGTGCACCACGCCGCAAAGTCAACATTCCAGTCATGAAGCTTGAGCTCAACGTTGCCAGCCGCGTGGGCAAGATCCCAGCCGACAACGATATCACGGTCTTGTGCGTATTTGGTGATGCGCTCCATGTCGAATAATTGGCCGCTGTAGTACTGAATGCCAGGCAGAAGGATGAGCGCTGTCTCGTCGGCATGCTCATCGATGGTCCTCAGAATGAGATCAGTGGAGATGTAAAAGTCGTCGTCTGGTTGGATCTGCACCATTGACTTCTTGGGATCCAGGCCGTGCCATTGAATCTGTGACTCGATGGCATAGTGGTCACTGGGAAAGGGGCGCCATTCGAGGATGATCTTATGCTTCTTTTCGGTGGGTCGGTAGAAGCTTGCCATGAGAAAGTGCAGATTCGCTGTTAGAGTGTTCATGACAACAACCTCCTCGGGCAGCGCTCCAACGATGGCAGCGCTTTTGATAGCACACTCCTCCGCCATGTCCTGCCAGCACACAAGAGGCGAATTCTCCAGGGCTGAGAAGTGGCCGCCAACAGCGATCGAAGCCCAGGTCTCGAGTTGCGCGTTCAGGTAATGCCGCGTAGCCTTGGGCTGCACACCAAGTGAGTTGCCGCAGAAATAGATGGATGGCGTGCCATCTGATGGGGATGTGCTGTGACCGTTGGTCTCGCCATTGACAGCCAGCTTTTCGCCATCTGTGCGTGATATTAGCTTGATGCGATCAATCTTTTAGAGCGAAGGATTTACTTGGCAGGGTACCATTAATTGCCTTCTTCTTCAATGACCCCTTGGTCGGCAGGATGAATTCATTTCGGAAGTGACGTAGTTCATCCTGGTGGTCCATCTGCTGGGCGTATTCGATTGTGTTGGCATTGGCCGGAAACTTGGCACGGCCGCCGGAACGGAGGTGCTCCACGTAAGATGAGAATTCCATGACTGGGGTAATCGTCTGAGGCTGGCTGTGCGGATGAGATATATCAGACGATGAGGTGCTTGTAGTGTTCTGCTGAGTGAGGGGTTGCGTGATTGTTTGGGGCGGCTTTTCGACCACTTTGTAGCCGTCACTTAGCCCGCGGTCGGCCGCACTTGGCCGCAATAGAGCACATCCGCATCCGCATCCGAGATCTGCATCCGACAACCGCCCTGCCGAATTTTCTTCCGCAATAGCCGGAGGCGGAACAAGGAGTCGGGCCACGGAGCGGGATCGGGGATCCGTTGCGGATGTTCAAGTCAGGGATACGAATGGGCATGGAGACAAGATACTTCATGTCACAGCGGCCGTCCTGAGCAGGTTCCAAATATTCTGCTCTCTTTAATCTCAAGTCTCACATCAAGTCTGCTCGTTAGTACTGTCATACTGCCCTTTTCATACAGCGTCTCTATTCACCATGTCTCCCCATGCCATCACTCCACTTCGCGAAGATGCCTTCACGGAACAGGCATACAGGGAGTTTGGAATCACAAAAAACGGCTTTCTCCCAGCTGAGGCGCCACTGTCGCATCTCCCTTCCGCATACTATGTCCCCTGGGAGCGAGTAATTCACCATCTTCCCGAGCTCCTGGCCTCGAGAAGATTTCATGACGAGGTTCGAAAATTGCCAGTGCTATCAACAAGCCAGCTTTCGAGCGAACCTGAGTGGAGGAGAGCCTATGTCATCCTTAGCTTCTTCACACACGCTTGGGTCTGGGGTGGAGAAAAGGCCGAAGAGGTGCGTACGATTTGCGCCACGCAAAAGCCTACGAGTCCGACTGACGTTGTGTTCAGGTGCTTCCGCCAGCCGTGTCCGTCCCCATTTTACGTGTTGCAAAGCACCTGGAGCTGCCACCGGTCGCAACGTACGCCGCACTCAACCTTTGGAACTTCTCGAGCTCGAGTACAGACTTTACCGACCTCGACAAGCTCGAGTCACTCCACACATTTACCGGAACTCGTGACGAGGCCTGGTTTTATCTTGTGTCGGTGGCAATGGAGGCCGAGGGTGCGCACATCGTCTCGTCCATGTTGAACGGGCTTGATGCCATCAAGTCGCGGGACTATGATACCATCACATCGTCAATCGAGTCGCTGACGAGCAGCATCCGCAAGACTGGCGCGCTTCTGGAACGCATGTACGAGGCGTGTGACCCCATGTGCTTCTTTTACAAGATTCGACCATTCCTAGCGGGCAGCAAAAACATGGCGGCAGCGGGTTTGCCCAATGGAGTCTTTTACGACGAAGGGAATGGCAAGGGCAGCTGGCAGCAGCTCCGAGGCGGCAGTAACGGCCAGAGCTCTCTCATTCAGTTCCTCGACGTCGTTCTTGGTGTTGAACACATGTCTCATGGCAACTTCAAGCCCGAGTCGAACCCCAAGGCGTCCAAAGAGCCGACATTCCATCAGCAAGTCCGCGAATACATGCCAGGTCCACATAGGCGATTCCTCGAGCACGTACCGCTGCTGGGAAGCATCCGTGAGCTGGCCATGTTACCGCCCCAGACAAAGGAGCAGAAAAGACTCCGCGATGCGTATCAGGCGGCCACGCAGGCTCTGACAGAGTTTCGCAACAAGCATCTTCAGATTGTGGCGCGATACATTGTGCTGCCATCAAAGAAGACAAAGGGCACTGCAACAGCCGGCAAGGTCGATTTGGCGAGTGTATCAGAGATGACCAAGGACTCAAAACAGCTGACGGGTACTGGCGGAACGCCGCTGATGCCGTTCCTCAAGCAGACGAGAGACGAAACGGCACAGGCGGGAGATTTGAGCAGGCGATGACGGTTCGGATTACATACGCATGGCGATAGAACTACGTGCTCGGAATGCATAGCGGGTGTTCTTGATAGGTCAACTTGAGATCTTTGGGGGCTAGGTAACTTGTGACAACTTTTGCCCTGATGTGATGCAAATCGGGCCAGCCGGGCAAGTGGGGGGAAGACTTGGGACAAGTCCCGTGAGCTGTCAAGGATGCGGTTGCGGATGCGGATGAAAGTGCGGAAGTTGCGGATATGAACATGCTTGCCTCGGATCGCACGATGTGCCGCACCAAAGACGTCATTGACCCACCTGAAACTCTACCTAGGTGGGGTTCCTTTGTAATCCCGAGCGCGGAAGCCGAATCAACAGCATTTTTGTAGCCGAGATTGACCCTTCCCTCAAAGCAGCCGAAGACAAACCGCCTTCTCTCCATCCGCCCGTGCTATCCGCCCTTCCCTATCCGCGCCCTGACGGTCACGCCTACATCTGCACCCTGTCACCCGCCACCAGTGCTGTGCAACTCCCGAGCGCCCTCCGAGTCCGTCATCCGTCCAGCCATTGAACTGACACGACATCTATGGAAGATGATCCCGTCCGGCGAGTCCGCGCCCGGATTGCTAATGCTTGCGATAGTTGCAAGGCGAGAAAGGGTATCCGCCCATGCCCCCTAGATCTTGCATATGTACATCGATTGCTGATCGATGGCCCAGTAAAATGCGATGGCAACATTCCCTGCAGCTACTGTACTCGCCGGCAACGAGCCTCAACGTGCCATTATTCTCCCCAGCACCGCCGACGCACGCAGGTGGTCCGGACGACAGTTACACCATCGCCGTCCGCCCCTGAGTCTGATCGGCTGACCCGACATCACCAGTCGCCGGGCCCGAGGTCGTCGTACAGTCATCAGCAAAGCCACACTGCCACGCCAACGCCACAAGTTGGCACTTCACAAGAGGCCGCCGATGACGACACTGAAGTTCCACGAGAGGCCCGGCTCCTGAGAGACGCACAAGGAAAACTCAGTATGTTAGTTCGGGCAAGCGCCATGAGACCCTAACGTGACTGACCGTTGACAAGTCTTCATTGGCGATTGCGCGCCACTGTCCTTCTTTCAGACTGTGCGGCAGCTTGTGTCGAGTCGGGTTGATGCCAATGCCTTCGCTCAACATGTGAATCGTTTCTCTGGTAGCGATAGCGCCAATTCCAAGCCATCGCACGGTCAGGGCTCCAGCACACTGCCCGTGCTGCATCACGATACGATACCTACTGCTGTTGCTACCTACTCATCCGTGGTTAGTCTCCATCTTTACATCGCCCTTCCTATGGTTGTAAGCTATGCTGACCAGACCAGACAAGCGGTATTGTTGATTTATTTTGCCATACAAGAGTTCGTGATGACATTGCTCTGTGGGCCAGTCAAACTGAGCGCTCGCATGATGTCTCCTCTGCTGTGCACTTTTTGGTACTGGCCATTGGCTACCAAGCCACACATGAAGACCTCGCCGTGACATATTTTGACCATGCCCGGAATATTGCCCTTGCCAACCTCACTGGTAATTTGACAGTATCGACTATCCAAGCCTTCGTCCTCATCACAGTATTCATGCTTGGTTCTTGTCAGACCAACGGCGCGTTTCTCTTTTGCGGTATGTCTCATGAAAATGTAGTGCCATTAAAGATGGCTGACAGTACAGGTATCGCCGTGCGCGCTGCATATTCCATCGGGGTTCACCGTACGGAAATCAACGCACGCTTCGGGCCTGAAACTCAACGTCAACGGTAGGCTTTAACCCTGAACTCGTTGGGTATTTGCATGGGGTTGACCAGGAAAACTCTCAGTGACCGCCTGTGGAAGAGTATGCGCATCTTGGACCTTTTCCTCAGCACATCTATGGGACGACCACCCGCGACTTCCGACGTCGACTGTACTGTCTCGTATTCGGCGCCGGATGAAGATGGCCAGGAGGCCTTCGATATATTGAACTCTTCTGTGCAAATATTCTTGATCGCCGAAGAGATCGTCGTCGAAGTATACTCGCGCAAAAAGATATCTTACCAACTGACCGAGGGCATTTCTCGACGACTCCGCGACTGGTCTGTCAGGTGGCTGCCTAAAATGAAGCACGTCATCGCCAGTCCACCAGCCGAAAGTAACGGAATTGAAGTCACAGGCGCATGTCAAGTACTGTGCTCGTACTATTATTGTGAGTCTGAACCTCCGAGGAACGCCACTTCAACTGACCCGGGAAGCTGTCATATTGGTATCACGTCCTTTCTTGATGTATGAGCTACACAAACGCCTTTCCGACAGCCATGCGGGGCAAACGACCACGCAGTCAGGCCTTTCGTCAGGCAAATCGAAGCTCGCAGATGCCTGTATCGATGCCGCTAGCTTCATGGTAGAGCCAGTGGTTGATCTTATTGACAAGGGATATCTCCAAGGCCATGTTCCTCTGGTGGTGTAAGTGACACGACGCTTTGGGGCTGGGCTACGCTGATGAATCCAGATCCTGGCTGTTTGCATCTTCCCTCGTACTTGGCATAGGGCTCCTCGGGTCTTTTGGTCGCATCCTTGAGAAATACAGCCGAAGATCAATCCAAGCCCTTGAACATTTCGCCAAGCACGACACGAATGCTGGGCAGTACGCACTGATCGCCAAATCTCTCCTTTCATCTGCGCTTGAGTACTTGGAAAAGAAAGAACTCAACGAGCGAATTCAGCGAACGGAAAGCTCATCACAGCTGTTTGGTCTTGTTCCACGCGAAGGCCAAGAGGCCCTGCCGCAGCAGTCGTACTCTCAGTCGGTCTCGGACCGTCGCAACTCGCTGGGTCGAAACTCTGGGGCCTCCGGCTATCTCGGCCTCGGAACGCCACCTTTCGGTGACATTGATTCGGGATTCCTGGGCTTGTCAGACTCTTTGCCCCAGACACCAAATCTTTCGGCGTTTCTCGACGGGAGACTGGATACTGGTGGGGACCCCGGTTTTGGGGATCTCAATCTCTTCCAGCTGCTGGACGGAGAAGGGCACATCGACCTTGGATCATTCATGTAATTTCCAAGCAGCCAACGATACGGTAAAAAGCCAACAAAAAGGCATCGCCGCAGAACGATTCACCATGAATGTTTATGTCTAGAGAGTATGTCTAGAGAGGTTGCGACTTCATAACAGCGTAGTTTCTGTCCGGGCTTGCATCCGACGCGGCAGCTGCATCTGAATCATCACCATTGCTGCCGTAGCCGTCCTCTGCCCTCGGATGTCTGGGAACATCAAATGATATGGACCTCCTCGCGCGTCGTCCCTCACGCGACCGCATCGAGCCCCCAGCCGACTGCTCGCGTGACGACTTTCTCGACTTGGCCGGGGCCTTCCCCTTGTCGTCGGAGCTATCGGTATCACTTGAATCCGAGACGGCGCGGATTCGTTCCGTCGTTTTCACGGAGGACGCACCCACAGACTGAGCGCGCGAATGGGCGCGCGACAAAGGGTCTGCCGCTGTGGTTCCGGACAGCTCCGAAGCATTCGACAAATGACGTCGCGTCTGGCGGGCAGGCTGGCCAGTGGATTGGCGACACGATTCGGCGCCGTCAACCTCGAGGGATCGGCGATCAGCGCGCCCGCGTTTGAAATTGGCGTTCAGAGCAGAGTCGACCGCTGTCTTGCCCGTGCAGGCGGCGACAATGTCACGTTTGAGACGTGCGTGGGCGTCGCGCTCCACCGGATCAGCCTGATTGACGCAAACCTCGTCGACCCAAAGAACAGTAAAGTTGCGCCTTTTGGAGCGGTCGCGCACGGCCAGCAATGCGTCGTAGAGGCCCTGGTGGACAGTTGTCTGCATCCCATTGAGATGCATCGTGCGCAACAGGTCTCCGGCCTCATACTTGAGCATTTGAAATGGCACCTCGTGCAAGTCGGCGTGAAACACAAGGGTTTCAAGAGGCTCTTCAGGGATGATGGCGGGAAAGACGAGGAGCAGTCGGATGAATTTGGGCCAACGGATGAGTCCATATTCGAAGCGTGGGGCGTCATCAAGGGTGGCCTTGGGGTTGGGATCAAAAGCATCACCGATGGAGATGGCTAAGTCATCGCTCAGGCGAAGCGTGCAGTACTTTTCACGCGTCGGTGGGAGGGTAGCGAATGCCGGCGTGTCTGATGCCGGGATCACAAGGTTTGCCGTGGCTGCCGCAGACGCGGCTGAAGATTCGGAAGCATTTGTCGCGGTGGATGTCGTAGATTGAGTCGAAGCCCGTTGATTGTCGTCTTGGTTCTTCTTTTTGCGGCGCGTGACCTTCAAAAGCGTGTCTTTGAACGTCATACGTTTCTTCAGGCCTTCGATGGGTTCCGAGCCGGGCATGGCCGTTGATTGCGTCGCAGGCAGCCGGGAAAATAAAGATTCACGAAGAAAAAATGCAGCAAAAAAAGCTTCCGGGCGAGAGTCGCATCCAGCGCGAGGGCGTTGCCACGAGAAAAGATTTTTTTTTAATGCCTCTTTCTTGACAGTAGTTGCAGCAACCAACGCCAGGTAGCTGGTTCGAGGCAACTTCTCAGCTGTGATGAAATCGGTGAGGAAGATGTCGAGGAAAATGGCTCCTCGTCAAGTTTCTCCACCGACAGTCATGAGTCGACGCCGCTCCAGCGCAGTCCAGCTCGGAACAACATGCGGGATAAGAAGATAACATGGAAAGCACAGCATGTCTTACCCTGAACATCAAATCACGACCCTTGCGATTATTATGCCACGTCCATCTGGGGCGACAAGACTTTTAGGCCACTTGGCAGCATAGTCTGGGAGCATGTCATTCGACCATCGGACATCCATAAGTCTTGGCCTTATCACCCGTCATGAGCCATCAACACCGAGGTTCTAGCTGTCGAATTAAGGCCTCATATTCGTTGAAATTTATCTCGCCGCGCGACGGTGGCATCATGATCTCCAACATCCCGCCTCACGATGCCGCCGTCCGTGTCAACTAGTCAGTGATGGTCTGCCAAACCTCATTTTGGGCGATAGAGTATCATCAAGGCCAAAGGTGGCGTACGCCTGCGGCGATAATCATCTGTGTAGAATCGCTGGAGCCTCAGTCAGGAGTGCTTCATTGTATACGGGCGACAACACGGAACTTTGGGGAGCTGAGGAGCATGATTCGAGCACCAAATAATTCATGTAATTGTGTTGTTCCTCCATATCTTCCAAAACTCACTCGTCTCCGAATCTAAATCTCTCTCCTTGGTTTCAAGAGCCCAACCTAATGTCGCGTTCTCGGCATGGTCCAGCCACGGTGCCATGGCCTGGTCTCGGGATCCGGTTCCTGCGAAGTGAACCAGGAAGTCTCCCCGCCTTGCATGGTACAGCTGAGAATTTGGGTCCGTCGTTAGCGGCTTGAAGTCTTCCTTGTCTTTGCCCCGCCCGTAGGCATTGAACCACCATTGGGGTACCCATATCACATTCTTGTTGAAAGGGGCCTCGTTCAGCAATATTTCCATGGCACTCTGCTCGGTAAAGGGTAAATCGGCATCAGGCCGGTAATGACGGAGTGCGAGAATCGCTGAGAAAAGGTCAACGCTCCATCGGTTGACTCGCATGAGAAAGACACCGTTGTTGAGACCATTCCAGTCCTTTGTCGCGAGCAAGTTTATGTTCTCTGCGGGATCCCGCTGGGTATCGGATCCATTGATCTGTTGCATCGGAATTGGCAGAAAACCGAGAGGCGATCGGCAAGTATCGAGGATAATGGTATCGCGGTCAACCCAGAATAACCACTCGAGTCTTTCGACCTCTGGTTTCTCCATTTCGGAAAGTAGAAGGTCAAGAATAAAAGCAGGCTTATTCCATAAGTCGTCGATGAGCATCGTAGCCAGTACATGAATGCCTGTCTCGTGGATCGCATTGTGCAAAGAGTGTGTCCTTAAGGCACGTTGATAATGGGTTTGTGGTGTACCAAAATGTGCAGTGACGGTAGCGAGTCGATCGTGACGTTCGGGAATATTGTCTATACGTTGACGACAAAAGTCTGCGTGGTACTTCACGTCGAGTGTTGACAGATCCCATTCCGAAGAGAGGCATTTCGGCTTGCCATGGCAGTAGACGTTATCGATGGGATATGATTGGTGATGGAATAGCAAAAAAGATGATACAAGGCGGCTTTGGTGAAGCCATACTAGCTGCAAAACAACCAGACACAGAACACCACTGCACAAAGCTTTCAGAACTCCGCAACTGAAGAATCCCATAGCTGGTAAGTATTGTGGTGTCTGTATATATAGTTCTGCTATAACCTTCCCTCCTTCTTAGTTTATAACTTTTGGAAAAGTAGGTTAAACCCTTATCTAAACCCGCTTATAAGCTGTCGGCCGCTATCTTTCCTTTCCCTTTTTCTTATTATATCCTCTAAGGCTCCCCCTAAGACTCCCTCCGAGGCGCTTTCTATACTACTACTACTATTATCTATAGAGTCGTAGCTTAGACGATGTAACCCTAAGTAGATCTTATTAAAAGGATTCGTAATATCCTTATTACTAATACTTACGTTTAAGTCGCTATATAAGAGAGTCGTAGTTAGCGACTCCGTTATAACCCCGGAGATAGCGAGAAGACTCGCTTAGCCCTTAACGGCCCCTATTATTGAAACCTTAGCTGTTTAGGCCTGAAAAGTAAACTCTACTCGTACTAAAATTATAAGATTTAGGAAAGTCTAAAAATCTTATACTTTTACTAGTATAATAATAATCGATATTATAGGGAGTAAGGGTTTTATAATCCTGCTAGTAGCTAGAATAAAAGCTAAACTATATTAATATATATATTATTAGAAAGATTCCCCCGACGCTTATCTATTACGAGAGAATTTCCTGGGATGTGGAATGTTGCTGCCTCAATAACCAACTCGAAACTCGTATCTATCATTTCCTGGCTTACGGACAACGAAAAGCCTTTGTAGGCGAGGTTTATCCTCGGGTCGAAATTCGCCTAGCCTCGGCCGAAGTGCCGGATATGAGGCGCGTTACGGCAACGCTGAGTCAATGGGCTGACAATATTCACGATGAGTCAGTAAACTGACGAGATGCATGGTGACCTGAAGTTGCCTAAGGAGGCATGATTGCTGTTTGAAAATTGTCAAACAGCAAAAAAGGAGCATCTGACAGGTATGGAACGACATTTTCTTAGTTTTGTGATACATGGGGTTCTTCCAGGTCAAGGCACAGTAAGTCTTTCATTCGTATCAGCGGGATCGGTGTGGCCCGATGGGCTGTCAATTCAGCAGCGGAAAGAAATGATGTAAGCTTGGTGAATTCAATAACACATCTTCAAGATGTGCTATAACTAACTACCTAGGATGCTCAATGCGATGGTAGTCTCTATCTTACCGCTTGATCACACAAATTTTCATCACCTATTTTAATTTCCTCCTCTTTCCCGTTATTCTGAAATCCTCCACGTTTTTCCTTGTGAATTCATCATCGTATGCTCATGTCTGCGGCTGTTTCGAAGCGTCATAGAGTCGTTGTCAAATTGTTGCGCCTCCGGGGCACTAGCTGCGGACGATGATTACCATTCCTGGCCAGCAATGAGTGTGGCATCCGAGTTGTTTCGGGACTGAGCAGCCATTTTTGGTTCTTCGAATTCCTCCATAGCTGGCGCGTCGTTGTGATCAGTTCTGTTGCCGTCAAACCTCTCAGCCGGCCAGCCCTGCATGGTGGCATCTGCTGGCACAACCTCGTCTTGCATGATGAGCGTGTGCTCGAGGAGGCAACTACCAGGTTCCATGGTCACGCCACTAAGAATGCTGCTTCCCGAACGAAGAACGCAACGGTCGCCAATCCTGACTTCGGCTAAGTCAAACTTGCCTCGAATATCCTTGTGCGTGACTAACGTGGCGTCGTCGATTGCAACGCGGTCCCCAATGGTCACCAAGTCGGGTTCCGTGAACATCAGATTCGGCTTTCCGTTCGCGAACAGCGCTACGTCTTTGCCGACGGTTGCACCGAGAGCGCGATAGTACATGACCAGCCAGTGCGTGCCCGATAACATTCCTGGAACCCCCTTGCCACGACAGCAGCGGTAGACAAGCCTTTCCACAGTCAAAAACAGCTGCCTGCGCTGGCAAAATGGGGTTCGGTCCCAGTCTTGACTGCCTCGAGTGACGCGGCCAAGGAGGGCCCATTTTGCGCCGATGACGATGCCCATGGCCAAGACAGCACTGCCAGTGGTGAGGGCAATCATGCTCAGGCTTGAAAGCACCCACAAGGCTAGAACGTCGTAGTTACTGGGCCGCTGCAGCATATGATCGTTGAAAATTCTACCCACGACCTTGATTGAACAGAACACTGGAACATTCCAGAAGAATACCGTGAAAGTTGATATAAAGGCCGAGTAGAAGAATACAAGAGCTGAGCTGGAGACGTGGTATGGCGCTTCACGTTGATAAAAGGCTCGCCTGAAAGGTGTCGTATCTCGGGTCTCGGTTGTTTGGCTTTCGTCTATGTCCTTGAGAGAATCGACCTCAGCAACTGGGCGCTTTTCGGGACTGGCTCGGGATTCAACCAGCGTATCAAAGCTGCCAACGTGTTGCAGAGCCCTCGCGCTGACTAGTGTGTCACAACTTGGCATGCTCTTCATCAGCCGTCGACGCCTGACCGCCTTCTCAGCTATGGCAAATCGACCGGAGGTAAAGCATACAGAGTCACCTCCCTGCGATCCAAGATAGATGCCATCAGAGGGGTACATCTTGTTGCGCTGTGTCATTGAACCAGGTCCCATGATTGCTCGCTCGCCAATACGAACACCGGGTAAGAGACGAGCGTGCTCCGCGATAATGGCGCCATCTCCAATGTAAACTTTCTCAGATCCAACGCCATCAGCTGTAATTATCTGAGCCTTCGAGTCGAATTGGACATCGTTTCCTATGTGCACGAGCCCGAAATCTCCAGTAACGGGCGCGACGCACGGCCAGTATACACGCTCGCCCACTTCGGCTCCGAGCATTCGCCATATGACTGAAGTCGTGCCGTGATGCTGGCCAAGCATCTCAGTGGCCTCTCGTAATTGCCCGTCGGGGAGTAGCGTTTTGATTAGTGACGAGCGCCAAATTTGGAGAGCCCCTCGGGCTTGGGAGTCTCCCGAGCGCGGAGGTCCGATGAACCTATCGAGCACAATCCTGACAAGAGCTGTGAATGCCACGAGCACATAGGGACTGACGAGTGTGCGCAAGATCATCGAAAGATAGTGATATCCCACTTTCGGGCTGGAAGGGAACCATGTTAAAATATCGCGGAGCGGAAGGTGACTGTCGAGTGGCTTCTCGATGACGAGGCCCATGAGGCCTCCGAACATCGGTGTCAGTGTGAGAAACCATGCGACTGTGAAAAGAGGAAATGTGGCAAACGCTGCCAAAGCCCAGTGGGGTCCGGGGGCGCGGTTCGCCGACAGCAGTCGATTCGATTCGTCTGCGTCATGAAGCTCCCAGCTGGACGAGTTCAGCCCAATGCAGGTGCCTGGTGATATTGTTGCACCCGGAGCTATAATAGAGGCAACGCAAGAGTTCTCTCCGATCACGATGCGGCCGAGGTACATGGATGTGTTTGCCTCGACGGCAAAGGGTCGGCATACCGTGTTGTTAAGGATGGCGCCGTCCCTAATGTCGAGGAGGTCCCACTCGCCCAATGAAGCTCCCGTAAGCTGAACATTTTTCCCGATCTTGGCTCCCATCAAGCGACAGTACATAGCTTTTGTAAAGTTGTTGGTGTTGAAGTAGCCTGTACCGGCTACAGTGACAATCTTTTGAACCAACCACCAGCGGGTGTGATATGCTCCCCACATTGGATATACGCCTTCTCGATAACGGCCAATGATGATCCATTTCATGGCAATCCCGAAGAAAGGCGAGAAGAGTTGGACCACTATGTAGCCAACAGTGATAGAGCCAACAAGATTTGCGAGGCGGCCCATGAGCCAGGCGTTTGTCATCCAGAAGCGTGTTCGACTCAGTACGGTCAAAAAGACTGTCCACTGGCACGCTCGACGCAAGGGATAGAAGACGCAGAGTGGCAGTAGCTGTAGCAGCATGAGAAACGGGTTAGTGGAGCTGTATGTCTTTGTCGGGACGGCTTTAATGGCAGGTAACTCTGGCTCGGGAGCTTGATTTGATGCGGCGTCGACGTATGCTGCAATTGCCTTCACAGTGCCGTGGTTGAACACAAGACTGGCTGGCATGTGCAGGTCGAAGTCAGCGCGTAAATGCGCGAGAAGCTTCTCGGCAGCTATACGGTCTCCACCCATGCTGAAAAAGTTCATGTCTGGGTCAATCTTGCCAGAGTCCCACAGGAGAATATCGGCAAAGGCCTTGACAACACGCTTCTGCGTCGGAGACACAGGCTTGACTGATGGTTTCGGGTAAGCATGAACGTCAAGGAGTTCCTCATCCACGACACCGAAGGGATCCTCGGCAAATGGCTCCGGTAAAACGTGAAGTTTTGTCGGGACCATGAATCCAGGCAAAGCAAGCGACATCATGCGCTTGATATGCGGTGGCCAGTCTGCCGTCAAACCCTGCATGCCGAAAGCTTTGGGGGCGACAAAAGCCTCCAGACTACCGTCATCTGGACTCAAGCGAAGACACGCTTGATAGCCGCTCGGGATGATCGATCGCATAATGATAGTGATGGCCTCACGATCGAGCTCACATTTGCTGCATTGAATAGGCGTTGAGACTTCTGTCCCAGCGGGAGGACATCTTGCCTCCCAATGCTTGGCAAGGTACGGTGTTTGGGCCGTGAGTTCAGGTAGACCTAGACGGTCTGCAAGCTGGGGCCGCAAGCTCTGATGATTCTTGTCCGGCATATCGTCCATGTATACGATGAGGGCAGGCCGCTTCGATGGGGAAAGGTTGTGCAGCGCTCCATAGAGCGTCCACACGTCGATGCGCTGTGCATCGGGAGCGGATACAAGAACAACACCCAATGTTTCGCCATGCGTTTCGTCTTTTACCGCAAAGACGAGAGCTTGCGAGAGTTTTCCACAGATCGGTGACTCCAGGCTCATCGCTGCTGTCATGATGGCTCGCTCGACCTCAAAAGGAGATATGACCTCCTTGCTGCGGGTGATGCCATCTCTACTCCGGCCCATGACATAGGAGTATCCATCATCGCCAAGGTAATCGACCTGGCTTGGGGCCACTGACAGAGTTCCAGCTCTCCGAAGTGGTCTATTGTCTGGAACCGTTGATAGCGCGAGACTGGGGGTCTCGACTATGCGTCGTGGGTCTTCCTTATGGCTGTAAACAGGTTAGAGTCATAATCGTAAGGGTTAGAGGGTGTCTCACATGGCTATGTCGTCGTTGGAGCGGACCTCGCAACGGAATGTGTCTCGAAGCTTACGTGCCAGAGCGGGTGGCAGTCCGCCACCCGCATCACAAACCAGACGAATCGCGCTCTGACGTGATGCCTTGGCTCGGGACCCTTTGGCTAGGATGACTAAATGCATGGACGGTGACGCATGATACCAGGTTGGACACCTCTCGTTCAAGATGTCCCAGAAGGCTGTTGCGTCGAATACTGGACAGCATATAGTGCAACCGCCGGAAAAGATGGGTGCAAGTAAACCTTTCAGAAGCCCACAACTGCTAAGAGTTAGGTCGTACTCAATTTCGATGGGTTGGGCACTTACATTTGATGCAGGGCCATCATGTTGACGCCAATGTCAGTAGGCCCAAGGCTCCAGGTGCCGATGGTAGAAGCGACTTCGACTAACATGGCCTGGGTCGTCAATGGAAGAACGTCTTTGCCCCAGGGCCCATTTGTTGATAACACAATTGCAACATCATCCGCTTGATTGGGCTGTGGCTTTGGGAGGCCCGCAGTGTCAATGCGAGCCCCTTTACCGTCTCGAAGTCCGATCTTGTCGTCCGTCCAATCCACCATGATCGCTTTCACACCGACGTTCTGTGTCCAGGACTCAGCGAGAAGGAGGCGACAATAGTCCGATTCGGTCGTCATGATGCAGCGTGCACCAGACTGCACCACGTCAGCTTGAAATTCATCGGGGCCGGTCGTCGGGTCGATTGGCGCCGCTGTGTAGTATGCAGACACAGCAATGCAGACGGCAGCAAGAAGGGGCCCATTTGGAAGCGCGATTGCGATGACTGGCTTGCGGTCGGTGCAGTCGATTGGTAGAGCGAAGTCATTGACGAACTCGTAGAGGTCTTGGTGTGAGATTGTTTGCTTGCCATCGGAAGAGAGAATGGCAGGTCGATCATTTTGGCTCAGCAACTGCAGCATTGAAGTGTGTGACTCTCGGACTAATTTCTCGGTGTTTTCCATGAGAAGTGCCACGTCTTCAGTTGGTGAAGTGTCGGTCAGAGGCTGGAGTAGACGGGCATGGGTTCGAAGTAGCGCGACGGTTGGCCATGGTCCGGGGATTTCCATGAGAAGCAGACATAAAAGATGAAGCGGACGTTGTGGTGAACCAGAAAGAGAGGGAATAGAAAGCAAAAGAGCTTCTCGGTCTGAAGTAAATCCACTCACTATGCCCCGAAACCCCGAGCTATGTCTGACATCAGTAGCCGGGAGGGTGTACAGATGTTGCAGGGCAGCGGCAAGGGTCTGTTGGTGCCCGTCCATCTTTGCGGTGGCGACGGGCTTTGATGGTTCGATTCAGGGGTATCGAGGCATGGATTCGGGAATGGGTTGAGTAAGCTCTCCTCGGTCTTGCGGTACCAGATCTAAGAGACATAAAAAAATGGGAACTGACCTCGACATATAGCAATGATATCGTGCATCACCGATCGATCGTCCCAATGATCTCACTTACCTGCCAGCATGGCGACTGTGGTGAGGAGATTGGTCCTACGGATGGAATGGCCAGGGCATCCCACACCGGGCCGATTTGAAGTCATCGTTGAGTGGAGCCATGGCGTGGAGGGTTCAGCAGCTGGAGACTCATTGACGAGTGAGCGCTGGGCAAGGCAGCTTGTGCTCGTTGGCACTTGGCCAATGCTTCCCTCCGGAATTCACAAAGCTTTCAAGTGAGACAGAAATCGCAAAACTCGAGGTGGCTGGAGCATACGACTCGTCACGATAGCATCGTGAAAGCGGCAAACGCAATAACGAGAAGTCATGTTGTCAAGTTAGCAGGAGAGTTACCTCGGCGCAATGAGGTAATAACATCGAGCAGCCGCGGGCCAGTCGGCGTCAGGAAAGCAACTACTACGTAACAATGTTAGCCTCAATCTTGATAGACGTTACGCTGACCATTGCCATAACATCAACGGTAGTCCCCAAAGATCGTGAACATCTGATACTCATCACTTCTGGTGTTGCGCCTAGAAGATGAAATCCTTCATCCATGACAGTTTGTATCAACAATCATCTTGTGATCCAGCAAGGTCTGCAATACTGGAGTGCTAGCCAGAAAAATCAATGCATGGCTATGGCTGGGTGGGGGCATCATAGCTTCCAAAGAATGTGGTTGACTGACGGTCCACCGAGGAAGAGCCGCTCCCCCAGCTGGCAGCGAACCGATTCCAACATGTATGGAGCGCGAGGCTGGGCTTGACAGCACGACTCGTAGAGCTTCAGGTCTGTAGGAAGCTCATGACTGATTAACCCGATTTTGTGAACGAATCCAAACTTCCTGACTGCACATGTGACGATTTGGCCTTCTATTTGGCATGACGACTACCGCCAGCTCCGAAGTGAGACATACCCACCCGCTCGGGAAGCCCACTTAGACCGTCGGCAATCTTCCACGCTTGGACATTCAAAGGTCCGTGCTTGAACATTCAAAGGTCTGTGCTTGGCCGTTCTCCAAAGTGTCTAAGGACTGGTCCCTAATTTATCGTCCTTTTCGGCCGAGTGGCTTGATGTTCATCGGACCAGGGTCCTTGCTGAGTGGGGGCTCAACTGTAGGGGCACAACTGCCGGTTCAAGGCGAGTATCGGTGATAGGGGATCATCCATCGGCGTTTGATTATGGCGCTGCTAGCGAGCCGGGAAGACTGCCGCAGATATTGTCATATGTGACTGTCGGAGGGCATTCTCCATTTGTTCTGGTCAACCCACGGGAATGATGCCTGAGGGTCCATGGTTGATCAAGACCCACGAATTTTGGCAGGTTTTTGTACATCGGAAACCCAAAGGCTCATAGAGAAAGGCACAAGCCACGTATGGCAGGTATCCCACTATCTTGATGGATTATGGTAATGCATAAACCTGAAATGAAACTGAAGGGGTTTTGTTCATGACCAAAGCGTGCAAAAAAGACCTTGCTGCGAATCACTGTAGCAATCCCGAAATTGCGCCGATGAATCGAAGACTGTATGCTGAAACAGGATGTGCGTTGCGCAGGATGTCTTGAATGACATAACAGATCCAGCTGGCGTTCTCAGGGGGGCTGACCTGGCAGTCTGGAAGGTGGATGTTTGCACCTACGTGCTGAGGCTGGTGTGGCTTTGGATATTTAGGAAGTTTTGATTTCATTGATAGGGCAAGAGGTCGTATGTGGAAGATTGAAGATTCCCCAGCTCTGGACCTCTCGGAACTACCGAGCTGACTGTTGAACCAATATCAGGGGATTCCCTAGGGCGGTGATCTTGGTAGGGGATCACCGATATAGTGATCACCGTGGCTGGGATTCACATCTCCCAAGAGCACGTGAATCACAGCTTACGTGATTAGTGAATTATATAGGTATATCTGACTTACGTAGGTGATGGTAATTCAGAGAGAGAGCATCAATCACATCACGAGACTTATATTACCTACCCCACCTATTCAGAGCTCTCAGGCACAGCCAAAGCAATGAAACGGAGTTCACATAAGCAGTGAAACCCTCTCAACACTGACCTAGTATACGCGTTTCCACCCTTATACATTTACAGTCGGACAAACAAAGTATAACGCTACCCAATAAAGCATAGTACGCAGACCTCTCAAATTACTAAACTAATAATTAGATTACCTAGGTATGATGTAAAACTAACATGAGAAGCAGAGAAAACAACGCTTGAAGTGAAAACCCTCTGACGCCTTTGCGGAGAGTTTCTGCCTATACTCATAGTTTTTAGCAATTAGTGTCTTATTTTCGAGGCTAACCCCGACCTTAATAGTGCCAAAGAAAGACTTACGACGAGCAAAGGCATTAAGCAACCTGCAAATAAAGGCATTCGTGTCCTTCCGGAATCTGATTTGTATTATCGCCGATGACCTTGTCGATAACACCGACGGCGTATTCGGTAGCCTTCATAAAGCTCTCAGATTGGTGAGGAGTCCGTTCCTAGGCCTTAGGATCAACATCGGCGTACAAGGTGTCGATACCGTACTTAATATTACATATTAAAGAGAACATATCGACCTTGCCGCTAGTTCGGCTCGATAACTCATTCTGAAGAGAATTAAGGCTTTCGTTATCGATCACATCGACGGTTCAAGTTTCAGTGTTCTGCTTCATGTGGTTGGTAAGGGTCTTGGGTGATCGAGCAGTTGCAAAACTCGGCAACTCTTCCTTGCAAGATCGAGGGCCAAGGCATTCACAGGTCCAACCTGGGAAGCTCTATCCGTACAGGCTTGTCAGCGGACCATTAGCATGCAGGAAAGGGCAGAGCATGGGCGGTGCGAGGTTCGCTAATCACTTCATAATTTCCAGTACGCACCCGGTAACGAGGACCGTGGGCTTGTTAGGTGTTGACATGATGGTTAGTGTTCGGTAATTTGACTTGGTGTGGTGTACTTCAAGTGAATCGCCGAGAAGAGTGGATGAGAGTGTTGGGAATCAAGTCACCCTGCTATCGTTGCCCTGAACCTATCTTTACTTGGGGAACAAGGGAACAATGTTCCTCACCCCACAAGATCAACCTGTGCTGATGCCTCATACATTTGCCCGTGCCCATAGTAGCACTTATACTTCCCTTTTGATGTCTAAGTACTTGTCACGTGCATTGAGACGATATTATTTGATACGTCTACTGCAGACCGTCAGAAACAGAGGAAAAGCGTGGGCGTCCTAGCGTTGACTCGAACTGATGTAAAGATTCAGCAACCTGTAGAAGTTGTATGACTCGCCGAGTGAAAACGTGTCTCCTCACTAAGACCCCTAAGGCACGAAAGAAACAGAGTTGAACAGGCCACGTACACTTGTTTGTTAAGACGAAATTTGTGGCTTGAAATTCTTGTCACCAGTGCTCTTTTCATATTCAAGAAGGTAATGTATATCGCTGAAGCGTGGATGAAGTCTCGTAATCTTACTGTTCTAAGCTTTCATGCCACATCCGTTGCTTACCTTCTGGACGACCAAGCATCACCTCAACCACCTACACATCGATCGGAGTCGCTCATACTACTGTATTCAATGCAAAGACTAGATTCATTCTTTGGATTTGATCAGAGTCTATTTTTGTCTCAGATGTAAAAGAAAGGAGGCAGAGCATCTTGACCTGAACACGAGCTAGCGTCGTGTGGGAACGAGTAACGAAGGGTTATCAGAACATTGTGTAGAACGTTTCTTGGTCGTCGCATCATATCGTTATGATGACTTAGTGCAGTCGCTGACTCTGAATCCTCAGTACTACTATGCATCGATCTATTCGTAGATGTAGACATTTGTGCAAGAAACATTAAGGTACATCTTGCGTCCAATAAGAACCATTCCGAAGTCTAAATATAAATCATAGGTTCTGGGTCGTTCTTACAAGCGAGAAATGCATCCAAAGAGGATCTATTGATTTCAGGACTAAGCAAGTACAGGGGAGGGTTTTAGGGCAGGATGAATGCGCGGATATTGGAGTGGCTGCAACGCCAAGCTTTTAGTCTTTGGAGGATCCTTTGCTGACCATGCCTTTACGAGGCGCATGCTCTGCGCGCAAAGCGCCACAAAAGAATTCTCTATACGCATACGCGTACGTGGTCTCCTGGTGGCGATTTCCCATCTTTAATCAGACGTTTACGCAAGTGGACTGTCAAGAAAAACACCCAAGTGACTGGCAATAGTCTTGTAGTCAACAATAGCCATTTCGGCTAGCCTTACATTACCACTGCGTTCGTCTTGATAACGGCCCATCTCAAATGCTTAATACGCGGATTGACAATGATGGTCACGAGATTGCCAGGAATTACAGGTTCATAAATAGGTCATACCCTTTCCTTCACAATTTGGAGAAGATGCTTACCATCCAGCGTTACATTACTAGACCAACACTACTCAGTTAAATACACCAATATGGTCCACGCAGCCTTCATGTATCTTCTGCTAGCCTGTTCTTTATTTGGGGTTGTACTTTCTCAAGATCAACAGATTCAATGCGCCAAAGGACTCCAAGTCTTCATTTCCAGAGGTACCAACGAGACTTTAGGTCCAGGTGTATCAGGCGCACTGGGTGAGATCCTCAGGGAAAGAATTCCGGACACACAGGTACATCCTGTTCCGTATCCCGCGTCTTTTTTAAATCCCGACTACTTCACATCCGTTCTAAATGGAACTCTACTTCTGCGAGAAATGATTACCCGATATACCAAAGTATGCCCTGAGTCGAAGATCGCCTTGCTTGGATACTCTCAGGTAAGTGAAAAGCCATAATAAGCTATTTCATCTAAACGACATGAATTGAAATTGCTAATGATAGCGGGTAGGGTGCGCAGATCACAAGTAATAATTTGTGCGGAACTCCTCCTGTTTGGTTGGCAGGGAATCCCTCGCTTGCTCCGCTGCCAAAAAGCATTATCGAGAACCACAGTAATATGAATCCAGTTCTTCAACCAAGATCTGAAACGAAATTGACAGTACTTCTAGTCGTGGCTGTTGTCTTGTTTGGCGACCCTACCTTTCGTTCCGATGACAGCTTTGCGAGAGGGACTGCACAGGGGAGCGGTGTAAGTTCGACGCAAGACGGATCACCCATGTTAAAGGAAGCGACTAAAGCTTTTACAGATGTTTTTCAGAGGTAATCACACAGCCTGCAACGCTGTCGGCGACCACATTGCCTCCTACTGTGATGCTGGCGACCCAATTTGCGATGTCGAGTCGGAGGTCACAGAAACTAACATGCACGTCACGTATCTTGAGAGATACCTCGAAGAGTCTGCTGAGTGGGTAGTGGAGCGATTCAGCAAAGGTTCAAGCGAAAGTCCCAGTCCAGGAGGGAATAACGCAACAACATCGGCTGTGGTGGTTCCGAGCGCTTTGCCAACTGAACAGTCCAACGCTGCTCGTGAAGTGACGTCTCTTTTGACTGTCTACATACCAGCACTCATGGTTGCTGTTGTCATGAGCTAGAAGTTTTATAGAAATAGAAGACATAGGCATGGTATATTGGGAGATTGGCAGCGCCACAGGGAGCTGCTCGCCTCCATCATAACGAGCTCATGTATCCATCAATGGGAGTTCTGGCAGCATGACCGAGCCGGTTCTGCTGCAGGCATTGTCCAAACCATATCATTCTTGACCCTAATTCTAAGGATGTCTGTAATTCAATTAAATGCGATTGAACGTTGAGCTTAGTCGCCCGGGGCCGTGGCGTCAGCTAATTCAAGACAAGGCACTGACGTCTGCTCGCGTGACGACACTTTCCTGGATAATTTTCTTGGCGGAAAAGTCATCTTGAGCCTCAGCTCGATAGAGGTTTTCAGAAAGGAATTTCATCCGATTAAGATGCATTGAATGCGTGCAAACAATAGACGAGCCACTGTCCGAAGTGGTATGAGATGCGGGTTAACGGGCTAGAGTGAGCAGCATAGTCTCGAACGCTTATAGTAACCTGCTATTTGGCAGCTGAATCGAAGAAAAATACATTGCCGTCCGTGTCAAGAAGCCCAGATGAGGTAAACAATGGGAATTTAATGAAGTCTCGCGTCTTCTCCCTACAACCATGGGCTCACTTCTTGCATGTCCAATCCCAAAGTCTCGTGGCCAGCAACGTATTACAAGCGAACTAGAAGGAGACGGCGGCGCGGCTCGTTCCACGATCCACAAGATTCGCAGATACGGCAAGTCTTCAAGTGATCGATTTCCGTATTGATGGGGACAAGTGGGGTACTCTGGGCACAGGCCCGCCGTCGGCGGCCGTCGGCCTGAGATAAGTCGGGCTTCAACCCAGTAAAAAGCTAGCGCTCATAATCTGCATAGGGTGGCGCTAAACTGCCTCTTGCCGACTCGGCTTCTTGCACTTCCTAGTACCGGTGATCCCCAAAAAAAGACTTGAAGCTGTAGACCCACCCTTGAAAATAATTTTCCATTTGACATCGAACACTGCGCATGGAACGTCTTTGTACCCGTTTCTCAACTTTTTATCACGAACGGCAACATGGTAGTGACACGAGCAACTGATACGAAAGGCAAGTCATCAGTCTAGGTTAATACTGAATCATAATCACTGACTGAAAGGATAGTGGGATTTTTCTGGGGTGACATCAGTAAAGAAGAGAAGAAACTGCTTCGTAAATTAGGTAAGGCCAGTCGTTGCTGATAAGAATCTTCCGTACTAAATCTGAATCCTTAGACTTTTTTATTCTTGTGAGTCGATTGATTGTCGATCCACGAATGGAAACTGAGTAGCCAGACTTTCTGTTGCTTTAGCTTCTTTTTCAACCACCTGGGTAAGCTTTTTTTTCTATGACAAACAAAACGCACAGACTAAGGAGCGATGTGTAGACAGATCAGCATTCGCCAATGCCTATGTAAGCTCATACGAAGGAATCTATCCTGATGATAAACTGATTGTTTCTTTGTAGGTTGCCGGTCTCAAGGAGGAGCTTAATCTCGAAGGCAATCAGTACAATGTCCTTCTCTCCATGGCCTCTGCAGGGTAAGTCTTTCTGAGAGCATCTTTCGAATCCGTTTAAACAGAGTGGAACAGCATGTTAGTCGGCCAGATACCTAGCAGCATTATCATCCAGAAAGTCAGGCCTCGTTTCTGGCTTTCCTCCATGGTTATCGTCTGGGCTGGTTGCACAATGGCAAGCGCTGCCTGTAAAACCTTCGAGCAACTTTGCGCTGTGCGCTTCTTTATGGGCCTCGCCGAGGCAAGCACTTACGCGGGTTCCATCTACATCATGGGATGCTGGTAGTACGTAGTGTTCTATAACGCATAAGCCAGAATGCTGATAAACGATAGCAAGTCCAATGAACTCGCTAAGAGAGCGGCTACTTTTACTGTTGCTGGTCAGGTCGGCAAAATGTTCGCCGGTGCCATGATGGCAGCGATTCATGAATCCATGGATGGCTACGCTGGGCTTGCAGGATGGCAATGGGTGTTTTTGATTGACGGCATCATAACATTTCCAGTCGCCATATTTGGCTTCTTCCTTTTCCCCGACATTCCGGAAATCACCGAGGCATTCTACTTGAGTAAAGAGGAACGCCAACTTGCACTTGATCGTCTCCCTCCAAAGAAAGAAGACAGCCATAACATACAGGCGTGGAGCTTAGCAAAACGAGTTTTGGGTCAACCGATCTTGTGAGTTGCACGATCCTGCCCATGAATATTGACTGACTGCAAAAAGCTACGTTTGCTGTGTATTTTCCGCCCTATCTTCAGCGATGCAAGGCTATATCGTACAAGGCCTCATGCTCCTCTTTATGAAAAGTCATCAAAAGTCAAACTCTTTCACGCAGTCTCAAGTCAACACATATCCTATCCCAACTCATGCTATTGGCATTGTGGCAGAGCTAGGGGCTTCGGTGATCATTGACCGCTATGACAGGCGTGTCAGCATCGGTCTGGTCATTTGCCTGATTCAAATTGCCTGCTCGATCGTCCTCTTGGTGCCTGGGATGTCTTTGGCCGGGAATCTCACGGCATTCTACCTTTCGTCAACATCATATGGTATCAACCCCCTGCTTTACAGTTGGTCGAGCAACATTGCTGCAAGAACAGCGGATGATGCAGCACGAAGCGTCATTCTTGCGTCAATGGCAGCAAGCGATGGTCTGCTATGGACCTTCTGGGGCATCGTTTTGTACCCTGCGAGTGATGCGCCGTACTGGCGGACTGGATACATTGCAATGATTTGTGTCTGCGTCGTCCTTAGTTCATGGCTCTTTCTTGTGCGCTGGGTTAGTCATGTACCCTCTTGACGTTGGACCAAACTGACAAACGAAAGTTGGACCGGTACACCGCTCGCAAGCATCCGGCTCCAGTCCGGCTACTCAATGCAGATTCATCCATCATACCTTCTTACAGCTCGATAAACGAGAAGAAGGTTTGAGAGGCGTCAACCAAAGATGAGTGTTACGATTGCCATCTAGATGATACATTTTCATCACGTACGACCAAAACCCCGACTAGACTCCAGCCTCGCACGGTACATCCTGAAACATCAAGAAGGGTTCGACGGTTCGATTAATCATATGGATATGTAGTCGGAAGTGAAATAACCAGATCTACTTTCCAGACATTGATTGAAACCAAGCGCAAGATGCACCCAAATACAGCGCCCTTTCATTGTTATAGTCCATCTCGTGTGGCTATCCTCGCACCGAGGGGCAATTTCATGTGAATTGTGCGCCAGACTTCATCGTGATCATCCCTGCAGATAGTTTCGAACCCGTTGCGCTCCCAAAATGTGAAAGCGCCGGGCAAAAAGGGGTGTGTGTGCAAGTAGAACTGTGTAATGCCAGCTCCACGAGCAGTTTCCTTCAGAGCGCCAAATAACTGTGAGGCCAACCCACAGCGACGAAGGTTCGAGTTGACGTAGAGTCTCAGGACCTCAACAGTACGGTCTTGGTTGAGTTGAAAATGCGAAAAACGGTTGTCGTAAGGGACGTACCCGATGGTAGCCACGATAGTTCCTTCTAGGCGAGCGATGAGGAAGGCCCCATCTGGATGATCGATGAATAACTTCTGAAACCCACCGGCTAGCTCGTTCTTTGCATGATTTTCGTGGGATGCTGCATCAAGCATGGTAAACATGTCTGCTCGGGCCGTCTTGGTAAATGCTACTATCTCGGGGACGTCTTCGGGTGTCGCTATGCTGATCCCGACACCTTGTTGTTCCAACGTCGTTGACAGCATATTTAGTTGTCGATCTGCTGGATTTGGGACTGGGCGTTGAACGATTGCGGCAAAGTACGTGGGCAGCGAGCTTGCCAGCAACATGTTGAAGCCCAAGATTCGCTGCGAGATCGGCCTGCTTCTTTTTGCATTATGCAAAACTTGAAACCGGCTGAAAGAGGCATAGTGCAATTAGCTGCGCCACGGTAACTTGGCCGCCATAACGACCCGAGCTACTGAATTACGGGCCTGACAGGCTGGGGTGTCTTCCAATGTGAGGAATTTGCATCACACGATGCTGGACCGGCTGCCTGCCTGCTGGGATGTTCGTATTCAGAACTGAGCCATAATAACTGACGAAGGCAGAGAGTTTCTTATGAATGGGTACCCTTTCCAGTCCAGGTACTGAGGAAACCAAGGCCCCGCCGGAGAACAGACATTGGTCCGTGCCATTTATTACAGTAGGTGCTGTTCTCGCCATGCTTGGTAAGCAATTCAGCTAGGCTGCTGAAGTCTTGGCACTGCAGAAGCCTGGATACTTGATCGTACCACGGAGGTCATGTCCTTCACGGGCGACGTCGATGGAGGTATGGTTGGGGCGGGCAAGGTAGGTCTGCGTCAAAACGAGGTCGACACCCCAAAAGATCAGCAATATGGTTTCGCCATTTTAGTCGGACTTTCATGCCCCGGTTTGCACCAGTGATCAGGACAATGGTGGTCATGGCCGCGAGATGAGAAATGATGCACAGCGTTCAACGCTCGGCGATTGGAGTGGATCTGGCCGCAGTCCCTGTTCCTTTTTCATTGAAACTGCCCATGGGTGTCGGTTGAATCACGACCTAATCATGATGAGACGTGGGCGTTGTGTTTTGTTCAAGGCTAAAGCCAGCATGCTAAGGTCCGTTCCTGACTTGAAGGCCACACTACTGGAGAAGGTGTCTACATGGTGCATCAGCATCGTGACTCGAACATGCTATCTCAATGAACATCGGACTCGCAATTGCGGACTGAAGTCTTCATTGTAAGAATGCTCAATTTTCTATCGCGGTGATCCTTACATGCAGATAGAGAATTTCGTCGTCAGGGGGGGAGGATGCAGCGCTAAATAACCCAAAGTCCGCTGTTGGTGTTCAGGCAGCGGTGCCAGACGAACTTGCTCCGGTGCTCCGTTGCGGCGAAGCTGATGTGACATTGGCCTGCATTTGAGATCCGGGTCGCTGCAGAATGTACATCGCACCATTACTGAAGTGTAATGTATATGCATCCTCTCCATTACACTATTGATTCCTTCAATATATGGCAACCGGAGTGCCCGGATTGGCCGGGCGCATGATGGCCCACATACAGGCGAATAATGAACAAGGTGGTGGAGTGCTGATGCACCACGGCCGAGAACTTTACTCAGCATACGCAGCTTTCTACCATAAGACGAACCCAAAGATTGTTTTTGGTGACGTTTGTGACTGAGACTGGTGATCGAAATTTGAATATATCTTGCACCTGTACCGCCTTACAATTCGTCACATGTCACTAAAGGACATCCTCAAGCGAAAACCCTTTGCTGACTGTGGGCTAGGCCGAAATGGTAGAGCATAGTACTCTCCTCTTGACTTCGACGTGTCTCGGCTTGAGATGAGGGTTAACGGAACGGAGGTGCAGTTATGAGGGAGATTTCGCGACTAGGCCCGAACCGCCACACCTTAGAGTCCAGACAGGCTTTGGGTCCGACTCGGCGTAACAAACAAACGAGAACGAACGAGTCTTAGATTCCATCACAATGGGTTTACAATGCTCGAATGTATCTGGAAGGATAGAGATGTCTCCATAGAAGAGTCATCTTTTCTGATATCTACACAGTCTCCGCCCCTGCAAGTTGATCAGAAGAGGACGGAGTTCAATTGTATGATTCCGTCCAGTTCGATTGAAGTTTCTTTTTCGGCGTCTCGGCCACAAAGCTCGCGACTAGGTCTTTCGGCTTTGATTGCAAAATAGCACCCACTATAGCTTCCTAGCAGCGAACAGAGCTGATCCTGTCGTTGAAGGAGGCCGGAATAGTGGCTTGGACGCCATTTCCAACGTACGATCCACCACCACAGAACCCGTCGCTGTCATAGAAGGTTGTATTAGTTACGCAATTTCTAAACCTATGTCATAGCTCGCAAAACAGGCAGCAGAGTATCAGGATAAGATCGGGGCTTATATAAAGAAGGTGCACGGTCCACTGGTAATAATGGAGCTCGTTCTATTATTATAATCGGCAGGGACATTCCCTGCAAGAGGAAATATTAGAAATGCTAAAGCGTAGAGCTTGGGTAAAGCAGCCTCGATTATGACGTGGACTCATAGCAGGAACCAGGGGTAAGACCTGCTTGGAAGCAACCGCCCCCGAAGTTCGAATCCTTGCAGATGCGGACGTTAACGGCTCTGGTAACGGCTAAGAGGCTAGTAAATGAGATCAGAAGCTAAGTTGGCTGCATATTGAGATGTAACGGTAGAGAAGAATGGGTTGATAGTGTGATGAGAGATGTGTTTTGGGGCTTTAAGCTGAGAGGAATCTCGTACCTTTTTATACTTGAATGCTTAGGGTTAGGGTTAGGGTTAGGGTTAGGGTTAGGGTTAGGGTTAGGGTTAGGG